TGTGCGATTTTCATCACTCTGGGATACGAATAAGTTCTGTCATTGCCCATATTACAATATTGAACTAGTATCAATTCCACCAAAGAAGATGTTCTGTTACACAAACATCATAAGCATGCAAATTGGTTGATTGTGCAGAAAATAGGTCAGCTTGCAAAAAAATCAACATTTATGTAAAAGTAGTATGCATGATAAATATATATATATATATAATACTTGAACAAGTAACATACCATGAGCAATCCTTTGATATGATTACGTTGGACAAATGGTTCAGCTGAGCGACCTTGATTATCCACGTCTAATTCTAGCATCACATCAATAATGTCTTTACTCTGTTGGTTGTTTTTTTTAGGATCAAGATGGATATTAATGGCGTTCTCGAAGATGGAGTTCATTTCATGAAAAACTCTTTCAAGCTTTGCATGATGGCCGTTAATCCTGTCTACAATCCAACCTATATATGGTATATAATCTTCTGCATTGACTTCACCCAACAAGGTGGAAATATCATGAAACAGACAGTAAAAACTACCTTTGTCAAGGTCACTGCCGTGAAAGCTATAGCCCAAAGCTATTCTAAATAGTATGCTGGCACTATAACCAAACATTTGATATGTGAGATTAACTGGATTCGAAGAAGATGCTGCTTGGGATATGGCATCTAAAAGAAGAGCGACTTCATTTTCTCTAATAAATCGAAATGACTGCACTCTTTTAATGCTAAAAACCTCAAGAATAGCTAATTTTTTTACATCTCTCCAGTAATCTGAGTATGGAGAAAATGCAATGTCAAGAAAATTGTAGGAGAGTTTCTTAGTGTTAACAAATTTATGTTTACTGCAAGTTTGAAGATCATGACTTTTAAGAACATCTTTTGCAGTTTCAGCAGAGGAGACTACGAAAGTGAATAGAGAGCCAATTTTGAAAGACATGATAGGCCCATATTTAGTGGAAAGATCCCACAAAGATCGATGAGGCAAGTCACCAAATTGGTGTAAGTTTCCTATTATTGGAAGTTTAGGAGGGCCTGGTGGTACCTTCCTATTTTGTGGCTTTCTTAAGAAGATGATGAGCACAAGAGCAAGGAGGAGAAGAGGAAACCATAAAGATTCCATAGCTACCATAACCTTTTTTTATTTTTGGCTATTGATATTTTATAGCCTCTTTTATTTTTATGTTTTTAGTGGAAAGTAGATATTAGGTATAAATAGATAACAGATTTTTATAGCCATTAATGGTTTGTATTTATTATCAAATTATAATAATAGAGTATGTATACATATATATATATATATATATAGAAGTTGTATCCATATTTCTTTTTTCAACTTCACACACACCTAGAAAAATCTTAAAAAATAAATTTGAAAACATCTCTCATCAATTTGGAAAATATTAAATAAAGAAGCATAAGTTAGATAGAACATCATCATCATCTCCCACCTTTATATTTTACGTTACATCCTAAACCTTCTTACTTTGATTTACCGCCTCGCCGCCTGTTCCACGTAGCTTTACATCCAAATTACAATCTCTGCCTTTTTTTAATAATTACTTACAAATAATGGTCTTTATAAATATATATATATATTACAAATCTTTACCATAAAAAATGCCCTACTCTTAACACAATCAGTTGAGAAGAAAATAATATTCTAGAAGGCTGAGTGGATAAAGCTTTCAAAAACTACTCCTTTAATAAATTATTATAATTACTTGAAATAGAAATATATACAAGATTTGAAAACCATATAATAATAATACATTAGATAATTAATTGAGCGTAAAAAATTTTAATACAATACAAAGTGATTAAATATGCTTCCTTGTGATGTTTTTTATTTCATAATAACTAATATTTATGAACTTCTATAAAAATATGAAGGTTTTTAAAAATATAAAAAATAAAATAGAATAAAGCTTACTCCAGAGTCTAAACTCAATCACCACCACCATGTTTAACAAAAATTTTATGTCTCTCAAGTACTTTTTTCAAACCAAATAATATATTTATGAATGATGCTTCTATTGTTCTCCTGCAAAAACTATAAAATTTCGTATTTTGAAATAATTTTGTAAATCCAAATTAAATTAGAAATATATAAAATTTTATATATAATATTTTCACGTAAGAGGAGGATGAGTTGTTGAAAAGTGTTCGGGAATATACGGAGAA